TGTGGTTGGCGTTTGCACAGAAGCAGGCCATGCTTGGGGGCACCCCCCACAAACCCCCATAAGCCATTTCTTGAATCGAGCATTTTGCGCACCCCTGGGCCTCCGAATTCCAGAACACGTCGGGATCGACGGCAGACCGACAACGGGCACGTCTGTTGTCATCGACGGCAACCCCCACAAACCCCTACACGCGCATTCATGACGGTGAAGAATTTCGCGCACCAATACTCCTCCTAGAAGAAACTCGCACGGAAAGGTCCACGCCTCATGCGAAGGACGGTTAGATTCCCACGGTTAGATTCCCGCGGTCAGATTCCTGTAAATAACATGTCGAAATGCAGAAATGGATGGAAGACCCCCTCTCCTGCAACCCTTCCAAACCCCGACTCCGCCAGTCGACAAGGCGAACCCTTATTCAAGCGCCGGGAACGTCGACATGCGACAGCGCGAACCGGAAAGCGCTCCGGAACACGAGCACGTCCGCGACAATACTCCGCGCTCCGCGACGGTCCAAGCCCGTAGGGGGCAACATAGATCGACGGCAGACCGATGAAGGTCACGTCTGCTGTCACCGACAGCCACCCCCATAAACCCCTACGCGGGCATTCCAGGCGGCGAGGAATTTTGTGCACCAATACTCCTCCCTGGACCAACTCGCATGAAAAGGTCCACGCCTCATACGAAGGACGGTTAGATGCATGCGGATTCTCAAAGTCCGCCGGGATACGAACTTGACGGATGCGAGTGCAGCGAGTAACAGGTTTTCGCGCGGCTGCAGCTATTGGAACGGGTGGTTGGCGTGTGCACAGTAGTTGCTGATGCTTGGCCGCACCCCCCATAAATCCCTAAACGCCAATTCTTGAAACGAGCACTTTGTGGAACGAAGGGCCTGCGACTACCAGAACACGGCGGGATCGACGGCAGACCGACAACGGACACATTTGCAGCAACCGACGTCAACCCCCGTAAACCCCTACACGGCCATTCCACACGGCGAGGAATTTTGCGCAGCAGAACTCCTCCCGGAAGCAACGGGCACGCAACGGTCCATGCCTCATGCGAAGGACGATTAAATTGCCGCGGATTCTCAAAGTCTGCCGCGATCCGAACTTGGCGGATGTGTGTGCAGCGAGCAACTGATTTTCTTGTGGCTGCAACTATTGGAACGTGCGGTTCGCGTTTGCACAGAAACAGACGATGCTTGGCTGCACCCCCCATAAACCCCTACAAGCCATTTCTTAAAGTGAGCATTTAGCGCACCCTAGGGCCCCCGACTACCAGAGCACGTCGGGATCGACGACCGACCGACAACGGACACGTCTGCTGCCACCAGCGGCAACCCCCTTAAACCCCTACAAGGGCATTCCAGACGGCGAGGAATTTTGCGCACCAATACTCCTCTCGCAATCAAGTCGCACGCAATGGTCCACGCGTCATACGCAGGACGGTTGGATTCCAGCGGATCCTCAAAGTCCGTCGGGATCCGAACTTGGCGGATGCGAGCGCAGCGAGTCACAAGTTTCCGCGCGGCTGCAGCGGTTGGAACGGTTGGTCGGCGTTTGCACAGAAACAGACGATGTTTGGCGCACCCCCCATAAACCCCTACAAGCCATTTCTTGAAGCGAGCATTTAGCGCACCCCAGGGCCTCCGACTACCAGAGCACGTCGTGATCGACGGC